ACTTAAATGAATATTTTTATTTGGTTTTGCACCGCGAACTAAACAAAAAGAAAAACAGATAATAAATATTAAACGATTAGATGGATGATATGAATTTAAGTACGTTAAAGCTTTTAATAGACGAGCATAAATTCAAACAGAGATGTGCAGAAGATCCCTCTTTTAAGGTTGGCTCTCCACAGAAATAATATGAAATTCAACGTTTTCATCCTTTAAAATAGTGAAAAAGCCAAAATTTTCAACGGTTAAACAAAATTTATTTTATTACTGAGAGGTAAAACTGGTATTTACGTGTCTAATCACAAATTCGCCCGCATCCTCCAGCTGAAAAAGTTTACATTAAATACTTGTCAGAATGTTTGAAGAAAAAAAAAATAATATTTTTTGCGACTCGTTTTCTCGCCTAAATTTCATTCAAGAAACATTTTCTACATGAACAATCACTACCATACATTCTAATAATCGTCCTATAATTCCATCAATGTTTAATTTGTCCTGTTCGCTTGCCATTAATATTGAATATAACTACGTTTTCAAACACGTGTACGTTGGAAAATTTGTGATAAAAAAAATAAAGAAATAAATGAGCACAAAATAAATTTTTGGCTTTCGTTGTTCTGTGCTCTAATGAATGATATTCATCTTGTATGGATATCGTAAGCTTTTGGATAATTAAAACGAAAAAGATGGACACAAATACAACTATTTGATCTTATTATCTAAAAAATTAGAGAAGTAGCAACGGAGATAGAGAGGCTTGAGGAAGAACAAAAACGATGCAAAGTACAAGATCACATTTACGTAGATGATGAAATGAATCTAGACCATGTTTGTACCAATGAATATGTAAAGTTTTTTTAACATCCTGTGTAGATTTATGGCCTTCCAAGCCACACAGTTTATACAGTAGTCTCTAATTCAAGGCCATCCATTATAATAGAACCTGTATATTCCATGGATAATTGCAAAGGGCCAACCGTAGTAAACGGAGGTGAGGCACGCGTGGTAAGAGATGTTGCGACAAAGAGAATAATACAGGAGACCGGATGAAGCGAAGAATAGTACGTTTTGAGGAGGTGGCTATGCATACATAAAACAGAAAAACGAGTGTAAAATGTATAAAGAAATATTTAGTTTTGTACATGTTTCTTTTTATGTGCATTCTTTATTTTTCAGTTTATACTATTCGAAAACTCGGCAAAAATGTTCTCCAGTTACTGCCTTCTTAAGAAAAAAAAATTTCTGCCATTGCTGTCTTTTTAAAAGATTGTCTGATTCTCATTAGAAAGTTTTGGGATGATACTCTTAGTTCTCTTTAGAAGAAACATGACGTTATTTTTAAGGTGTGCGATGAGTGAAGAGTCGTCCATTATGGAAGACTAGATTGAATATTTGATAGCCAAAATGAGAAATTAAATTAGAAAAGAAGGAATCAAAACTTTTCAAAAACCTCTTTGAGATGTAAAAAGTAATTAATTTAAAGAAACGATGATGCGTGTTTTATCAAGACTAGTAACTTGCTAATGCATTTAACAGTCTTTAAAGAGGATAAAAGTGAACATTTTATTGGATATTTTAATGCTCACTCCATCGATCGTACGTCAAAATGAAGTTACTATAGGGGTCAGGATCAATGCAAATTAAGGTAGATAGTCTCTCCTTGAACCTACTGATTGAAGCTAAAAGAAGCAATGCAACTATATATGCATAAACGTGAAATTGCAGGGACACTTTTTTCTATCTATGTTTGTTCATTTCCTTGAACAAATCTTGTTTCTTTGTCTATGTGTCTATTCTTTTGTCAGTAGGAGTCATACTATTGTCAGTTATATTCCTGAAAATGTTTCCACTTTTTCTATTTACTAAATAGAAAAACTGATGTCTATTTAATTACAACCAGACATACAAATCATTTATTAACCACTGTCGAAAAGCATTGGTTCTTCTGCTTTCAATTTATTATCGCTCGCTGACTTCATCTTCTATATGAACACCAACTGTTTTGAATAACTTTATCTTGAAGAATGTGAAAAAATGTTTTCCAAACAGAACTGCTATAATTACTTCCTTCGGATTTGAAAATTTCTAGAATTCTATTATTCTGTACAATTAACTGATTTGAATCGCTATCATTCATTGTTTTATGCGATTTCAAAAAGAAACAACTACAAGTTAAATTATCTGATTTTTGTATCTTTCCTCGAAAAACACGACCATTGACAAAAATACTTCCGTTCACAAGTTTCGTTGCCATAGTCAGTTCCCAGACTAAGACTAACTATTCACGAAAAGTAAGGTTACTTTAAAGTCATCTGTAATTAGGAACAGAAATAAGTGATTAATTAAATAACTAACACAAGCAGCGGGTGAGTGAGTATCTAGACATGGCTGAAATTTACTGTCGAAGATACTGAGACAGAGCAATTTTGAAAAACATACTATGCACAATATCAGTTCGCTAACAACTCAAATATAGTATTGACATTTTCAGTTCGCAGCGAATTATATTCTATATATGTGTACCAGACTCAATGGATTCCAACTCTGGGATATCTTAGGTATCTAGAGTGTCTACCTAGATACCTAAGATATCTGGCAAAAAAAAAGTTACAGAAAAATGAGTTCGCAGCGAACACAAATTGTTCACGATCTCTTGAAAAACAACAATGAATATAAACAAATTTCTGATTCAAAAAGTTTATTTCAGACGATAGGATAAATAAAAGAAAAAAACTATTTGAGTAGAAAAACCGTTACCAATGGTCATCATGATCTTTTGTTAAATAAGATGAATGCAAACATACTTAGAATGATAAAGACGTGAAGAAAAAGAATGCGACGGATAAGCTAAGTAAAAGTATTTACGATGAGTAAAGAAAGTCGTGACACAAGTAAGAATCTAGAGAAACTATAGTAAGAATTATAAAGAATAACACGAGAAACAAGGTTATGGAATCAACCATATGGAGTGAAAACGTCGTATAGAAAAAATTAAGGTCAAGCACTTTTAAACATGAGAAAAGTTAAAAGGATCAGCCAAATAAGCTGAGACAACTATTCATATTTTTCTATATTAAACCTTGCTCTCCATAGTATGGCTTCTTTTTGGATTGTTCGTTTTAATTGTTCGTGTTTAGGAGATACGTTTTGTTTTCCATCCCGTAGTGCATTCCTGACTCTATCTACCTAAAGCTGTAAAAATGTACGCCGTATCAATCGACAAAACTTTATGTTTACGTGAAGAAATCTGTTGTATGTCGCCTACTGGAAATATCGATCTTACTAGATCAGAAAATTGTCAGAGAAACACTTAGATCAAGTCTAAAATAATAGAAAATAACACGTTTTACGTCACTGTGCGAAGTAGGCAAATGTTATTAAGTTTACTTATTTTGTCATAGTTAAAACACAAATTGTCATGAAACTATCGGTTGTCGTTTTTCATATAAAATGAACAAAAATAAGTTAAATTTATGTTCTGTCTCTCTTCTCGTGATCATACGTGGATTATTTTCGTACGGACTAACGAGACCAAAGTCTGTGAAATTTAGTTTGTAAAGCAGAGATTCGATGTGTTTTCTTTAGTTAATAACCAAAAATAACGACTTTCAGCACTTTTGGTCACAAATACCTGACAAGTGAAAAACTAACGCCACATCTTTATCGATCTAGTACATTGTATAGTCAAAGTTTCATCGTAACAGGATCTTACAGTCTTGTGTATTGAATTTCGGTACCATAGTGTCACTTTTTGGATTGTAACTTTTCCGGACCATTTATGTGAAACAACAATTTCGATCTTTTTTTAATATAGTAAGTTTGATTTGTATTAGTCTTAGATCAGTAAAATCGGAATAATCTAGGCTTCTATCTTTATTTTCTCGTCTCAATCGTTTATTATTATTAGTAAAAGTCAATTATTGGGCAAGAAGATTTAATGTTGAATTAGTTAAATAGAAATTTATCTTTCTTGTTTATCGTTATTTTACGTAAAAATAGGGCGGCGGGATACTTAAGGTGAGAAGAGCAATATTCTATTCACATCGGAATAGTATTGAGGAGGTGTGTACCAAAAATTGTTTGAATGTGTGTGTCTAGAATTTACCTTTGTATGATCAAACGATTGATATCGAAACTCTCGTTGTATTGTCTCCGTAAATCCAAGTAGAGTTGTGTGATAATAAAAATTAAGGAAGAACAATATCTAGTCTTAGTATTAGGCAGTAAAACGTATGCGCTTTTTATTTCGTTAAAATGGTCGCATTCTGTGAGAGAATGCTGTCAATTAATAATTCAAAACTATATCTCTGAAATGAATGGAATAGCTGGTGTACTAATGTTATTTTGTTTTTTTCTATTTCTGTTTTTTCTCACCCATCATAGATTCCTATCTATGCAAGCAGCTGCATTGAATTGAATAAATTTGCACGATAGTGTATATTTTGACAAAATATGCGTCACTATTGGTAGAAAAATATTAAGATAAAACAAAGAGTGCATTGTTGTTATTATTATTATTTAATTCAAGAATATTCCCTGTTACTGTGTGTTACCTGAATATAACTTTGTTATCGGAGAAGTATTTTGACATTCTATGTGGGGAGATGTGACCTATAAGCAGAAAACATCTGAACTTGCCACACGTTTGTTATGTGCGTTTGAATGTGCGTTTGAATGTGTGTTTCGTATATTCGTTTCATCTCAGCTGTTTCATCTGAGTTGCTGCAGAACTAACCTTGAAAAGAAGCAAAACGAACAAAGTTACTGGCTACATTACCTACCTGGACTCAAAGAGATTGCGGAGATGACCAAAAAAATGCGTCATTTTTTTTTAATCTGTTATAATGTTTTCGTTTTGTCTCAAAAAGTGCGAACGAAAGACAGAATAGGTCGAGTAGATGCGTGTTCGAAGCATGCTAGTCATCTTTCGATCTCATTAGTTTAGTATAGTATTAAAAAAAATTTGTAAACATATTATTAATTATACAAATTTTTTAACAATGAGACCGCGACAAAATCATGATGTTATGGTAAGAAAATATATTATTCATTTTATTTGACATTTTGTTTGATTAACAATCGAACGGATGCGAATATTAATTACATGAACAGTTTTTCTTTCAATTATTAAGAGTTAAAAGAAAAAATATAGTGAAAATAGAGAATGTTTAGAGAGTAGACATATTTTTGTCTAAAAAAGGAAACAAAATGGCATCGAGAATGATATAAATGCTTTTTTTAACGTTTTGGATCATAATGTCTTTAAGATTTTTGTATGTGTGGAAAGATAAACTCAGAAATATTATGTTCAAAATGAATTTTACTATATTTATTCCTATTTCATTTGAACTCAATTTTTTTTTTTCATTGTCGAATCTATTTGATGAATACGTGCATTATTGTGTAGCATATACAAACAAAAAAAAACTTTGTCTCATTTTAGACAGCTGTTGCTTCCACCATTAACTCCTCCGTGGCGTCTTCTTCGTCACGTTATTCTACATGTTCACCGTTTGGTTCTCGGATGTCTGTGATCGGTGCGGCACATCCAGATGTAGTCCGAATTAGAGTTTATGTAAGTGTCTACTAAGTGGGATTATTCAAGCTTATTTTGATTCATTTTTATGCGGTTTTTTCAGAAACCAGCTCGCGTTAATTGTGAACCAGAGTCCAAAAAATTGTGTGTTGATCCACGTTTAACAAGTTATAATAAATTACAATATCTTATTGCTCAAGCATTTGAAATTAAAACGTTAGTTTGCTATTATCAGTGTTTTCTTTTTTTCGCAAATATACTTCTATATTGTTTGTAAAATATAACAGACGATTATTGCGAGTAGAAAGTGCCGCAATACATTTTAGAAAAAATATAAAATTTGTCTTTTATTCGTTGCTTTTCATGTTCTTAAAACGACATTAATTCTCTTCTATTCTAGAGATTTTGTGATATATGCAATTATTAAAGATTCCTATGGACATGAAACGACAACAGCTATCTGGAATGATTGGGATTTAGATGCAGCATTTCAAAATGTAGTACATGATACATGCTTAAAATTACGCTATGAATTAACTCACACAGAAGATGGTACATGCTTTGTTTTTCTTTACACCATTTTATATAACCAAAAGTAGTTCTTTATTTAGGTTTAGACGATTGGGATTTTATACAAGTTGGTGATTTTAATTCGAACATTCGCTGGTACAACGTTGATAATCGAGCTATAATAGCGACGGTCAATCAAAAAGCTGGAAAAGCTGCATCAGTCTTAAATAAAGCTATTAGTAAGAGTTTATCCGTAATATGATTACACATATTTGCACTGCTTGTTTTCCATTTTACTCGATCCCATTATTCAAATTACAGTAGAACAGTCTAATGAGGAAATTTTTATCAGAAAGTATTCTAACGTCCTCCTATTTTAAAAATAAAGTTCACCTTCTTAAAGCAACAACTTAATTATCATTATTAATTTAGATTGGATGTATGGTGTTAACGGTCGTCGTAACAGTCGTCCACTTTGCGAAACTAATTTCAAAAAATTTCTTGATTCTGAAGGAAGATTGATACATCATATTGAATTAAGACAATTTATATTCGAAGGTAAATATATGTGTTTCATTAGCAAATCAGAAATTTATGTATTTTTTTTAAACGGTTTTAGGTGGAATAGAACCATCGATTCGTAAAGTTGTTTGGAGACATTTATTAAATATATTTCCAATGAATATGACTGGACTTGAAAGAATTGACTATTTAAAATCTATCAATATTGAATATGAGAAGTGAGTTAATAGAATATACTTTTTAATCTAATTAATGAATATTTATTTACTCTTAGATTGAAAATGAGATGGACACATGACAATGAAGAATGTAAGAAAAAAACAGAGACAATTCGTTGTATAAAGCAAACAGTGAGAAAAGATGTGATACGTACCGATCGTACATTTGGATTTTATGCTGGATCTGATAATAATGTGAATATACAATCACTATTCAATATTTTAACAACATATTGTGTTAGTCATCCAAGTGTTACTTATTGTCAAGGTATGCATGTGTATACGATCGTTTTTTTGTGTAACTCCCATCAGATCAGTAGAAAGAGGAGTGAAAGTTATATATCTAAGATCCTTAGCAAGATGCAAACCATTTACCACATATCCCCCTCTCCTCTTTGAGAAATTCTTATTTTTAAGACCGATGCGGGCTGCCTGTGGGAAATTTTTAATATTAGTAAAGTCATATTTTCTTATATGGATATATATTGTGTGTTTTATAACGTTTCGTTATTTGTTTTGTACACATACCATGTGTACCTCTTAACTGTGGCTTGTTATATTTACCGACCCAGTTCGTATTATAGGTTATAAGCTGAGCCTTTTCTCCTTTTCCCAATAGTTGTCCTCGACGTCTTTCATGACTGTTTATGTCTTATGAGCATGAACTATTATATTACATGGAATGTTTTATATGTTTAAACGTGGGTTCGTAATAGATTTTTTTCAACTGCACACAGCACTCGCTTCGTAACGATAATAATGTACTAAGCATAGATTAATTGACTACTACTTTACCTCAGAAACCGTTAAAGGAGTTACACATTTTAGTCTCAAAGCTGATAAGCTGATAAGCTGATAAGCTTTTTAATTTAAAAATTGACATAATTTATTTTTAGGAATGAATGATTACGCGGCAACATTACTATATGTTATGAGAGAAGAAGCTTTAACTTATATATGTTTTTGTTCTATAATGAGAAGAATTCGAGCAAATTTTGCTACCGATGGTGTAGTTATAGCAACTAAATTTCAGCATTTGAAAATATTATTTCAAGCTATTGATCCAATCTATTGGGATTATCTATGTACGGCTGATGCAGGTACATTCGAGCGAAAAACTAAGTTTATATTAATATTGATCATAGTCATTTTACTTTTAGTAAATTTATTATTTGCCTATCGTTGGTTACTATTAGAATGTAAACGTGAGTTTCCATTCAGTGATGCATTACGTGTACTCGAAGTGATGTGGTCAGCATTACCTGTTGAAACTGAACCACCATTATTGAGTGAAATACCATTGTTAGCAACATTAGATTCAAATGAAAAATTATGTTTTACGTGTACAAGTAGTCGATCAGCATCACCAATCAATTATTCTATCCGACGTGCAATTAGCTGTCCTGATCTACGTCTATCAGTACAACAATCCACATTACAAGTAAATTAGTTAAAATTTTTTATTTCATAAATGTCATACTGAATTACTGACAAAGCTATAAGAACATGACAGATGATATTTGCTTTGAATTAATGAGACTTCTAGTGTATGTAGATGGAAGCTAGGACTGTCTATATCCCTTCTGGGATATTATTGAAAAACCATCCCTTTTGAGGAATTCGAAAAAAGTTTTCTCTGCTACTTTACTCAGTTATCGCTCTAGTGTTAGCAATGGAATAGGTTAAGAAAAACATGGGTATCAATACCGGATTCTCAACTTTGTTAACGATTGTTTTTCAGGGAATGGATCGCTATTTGTCGCGTTTTGATGATAATTCAACTCACCATTTACTAAATATCTCATGGCCTAATATTACTCGTCCGGTAACTAAATATCGTCGACAACATATAAAATATGTTGCTGATGATTACTCTTATTCTTGCATGTCATCACTTCAAACACCATCCCAGTCGCAGCAACAACAACTACAACAACAGCTACAACATCAAAGAAGTTTTGAAAATTCATTTTCTATATCAGAACTATCTGAATTGGAATGTGATACCATGAATCAAGCAGTCACGGCAACACAACTAGCGTGGATAAATCGTTTGCCATCATGTAATATATGGTTAGATGAAGATAATCCGTTTTTGTTATTTTTATGCATTTCATTATTGTTGACTCATCGTGCATATTTATTAAAAAAGAAAAATTTAGATGAACAAGAAATCGCTATGCATTTTGATCGCTATCGTCGAAGACATCATGCCGATCGAATTTTAAATTGTACGAGGACTTTATATTCACAGTATATGCAATGGGCAAGAAAAAAACGTATGATGGATGATCTTTCTCAATTTTCAACTAGTTAGTAATGCTCAAGTTCATAGTTAATATTTTTTATAATACAATATGTTACCCGGTTATTTTATATCTCTCTCTTTTTGTTATATTTATCTATTATTTTTTTTATAGTCTGATAAACTTAATAAAAAATTCAATACATGCGGGTCATCACATGCAGAAACTATCAACTCAGTAACCATTAGATTGTGCGTCAATAGTGAAATTAGCTTCTTTGACTAATCTCGCATCTCTGATCGATGTACCAATAACACCTACAACAGCTAAGACATCTAAAGAAACACTAATAATAAGACTAGTTCGCATTTTCATCAACTCCCGTCGTCCTACATCATCAATTGTGATTTTCAGCTCATTCACTAGTTTTTTCCTTTCAACTCTATTTCGTGCATTTCTCGATCAGTATCGGGCACATTTCGTTTTGGTAAGTGTCAATAAGACCAAAAGCAAAGATGTGCAAAGACATCTCTCAGAGTTGGAACCGGTTGAGTTTTATTCAGCGGACTGGACCGATCAATTAAGTGCCGGTTAAAAACACGCCTAGACCGGTGAAAAATCGGCTGGTTTCTAAAAACTTTTTAACCGGTAGAAAATCGACAACACATTTCGCAAAAAAGGTGGCTGGAAACTCACTTTTCTTGAAGCAGAGTCGAACAGAAATAACTCACAGAAACTAATTCTTAGAATGTAGCACGAAAAGATTTTTCCCGAGCTGAAAAACGATATTTCGTGAACAACTTTCATGGTAAACCAGTGGTTTTCTTCGGTCTCAACCGGTAAAAAACCGGTGTCAACCGACCGGTTTAAAAGTCATCCGGATCGGTGACCGGTTAGGGTGCCATTTTACCGATCCGGTTCCAATTCTGACATCTGCGCAAATATAATAATAATAACCTACATTCAAATGCAAAAAATATAGGTTATTCTAAGATCTATGTAAATTATAATTCGATTCGAGACTTTTCTTATCTAACCGGTTTTTTCTCGCACCTTATCTCTACACTATGTTTTGCACATTTTTTACTTAGTTATGTTTACTTTGAATCTTGAAATATTGCTTCATGCTCTTATGAGAAAGAACAAAAAGAGAGTAGAAGTATTTTAAGAGAAGAGAAAGAGAGAATTCATATGAATATTTCTAACAACGTTAATAAAGAAAATTAATTCGCTTTAATCACTGATAAACTTGATCTCTTTTCTTCTATTCTCTTTTTATTCTTTCTCATAATAGCATGCAACAGTATTTCAAGATTCAAAGTAAACATAACTAAGTAAAAAATGCGCAAAATGTGGTGTGAAGATAAGGTGCAAGAAAAAACCGGATCCTATTAGATAAGAAAAATCTCGAATTGAATTATAATTTATGTAATAGATCTGAGAATGACGAATATTTTTTGCATAGGTTATTATTACCATTTCTGTGGAGATGTCTATGCGCATCTTTGCTTTTGGTCTTATTAACACTTACCAAAACGAAAAGTGTCCGATACTAATCTGTCTGCAGAGACAATCTTGTCTTATTTTGTTCAGAATTAAAGTCTCTGCATATAAATAATTTCCCGGGTCTATTTTTCAGAGAGCTGTAAACAAGAGTTTGAACAGATTAGCGATTTGTTCACAAAATCGGTATTATACTATTGAAAAACTAGCTGAAATTTCATCTCATAAACAGGATGTTAATGAAAATTAGGCATTTGTGTGTAGCCCACTAGTTCCAAGAAGTACAATATCACCCTTTATCGAATTCAAAATTAATGCAAAAATGCACAAAATATAGTTGATAGAAGAAAACTAGTGAATGAGCTGAAAATCACAATTAATGATGTAGGACGACGGGAGTTGATGAAAAAGCGAACTAGTCTTATTATTAGTGTTTCTTTAGATGTCTTAGCTGTTGTAGGTGTTATTAGTACAGTTTTGTATTGTTTACGAAGAAAAAAAAATCTAGATCAGTACAGTTGTTAATCGAATAGGAAGTCAGCGTGAATATTGGTGTTAAAACAAATACTGAATGAGTATTGGTAAATCAAACATAAATTCTTTTATAAATCATTTCAATTCATTGTATTATACATAGAAATTTGTGTGACAAGTAGAAGTTTCAGTGAAAGTTGCGGTCTATTAAATGTCTGAGAAGCATTTTAAAATTCATAGAAATTAGTATAATTCTTTTTTTTACTACAAGCGGATGATTTTTTTTTTCTTGGAGGAAAAGTAAACCAGAGAAATATCCATTTCGCATTCACTTATCCACAGCTGGCATTTTATAACAGATGTGTGCAAAACGAAACGAAAAGAAAGTTTGTCATTCTTCTACGATAATCATCCATCAGCAATGTGTAACTGTCATTGACAACGTTTATTTTATGTTAAAATCAAACAAGACAGCACAAAAAAAATGATTGAAAATTTAACATGATGTAACAGTGAGAAGCCAATAAAAAAAAAAAAGACAAAGTTAGCGTAAAATAAAAAACAACCTGTCTATTTGGACAGTAATAAGTTTCACTTGAATTTTATGGCTATTTTTGATTCCACTTGTGTTTGACAAGTTCCCTAATCGACAAAAAAGCTTAAGAAGATTTATTTACAAATTATGACAAATTAACTTCAAATATTGTAATTTTCAAAAATTTTTTGTACAGCATGTTATATGAAGCATATCGTAAATCTTTTATTATACAAAGATAGAAAACAAATTTGATTTCGTCTGAAATATTATCCAAACAATCACATGTATATTAAAGATGTTATCAAAATCTTATAATACGACTTTATATTGATGATACGATATCCACAGGGGTATTTTTTGTGCGTAACAATAGTGTATATATTTTAGTATCAATTTCATACTACAAATGCTTAATCTTAGCTAATCACTATTCTCTTTGTATGCATCACAGATATAGATAGTATGTCATTCACAGAATATTCGCATACTTTTTGTCGAATACACGATCAATTCTTACCATATTTTCAAAAACTTTTCAAAACAAAATTTCTTTATTTCATTAGATTGACTTTGATCTATTGTTCACATCTATTTTAGAGTCTCATCTAAAAATGTTGGTAATAATTAAAAATTAATAAATACAAAATATGGACGAAGAAGAAAATAATAATGTTGAAATACTTGAAGAAATGCGTCGTGAATTAGATACTACCAAAGATGAAGTACAAAATTTAACCAAACAACTCAATTGTCTACTTCTTCTAACAAAAAGGTGAAATTGTTACATTTTATTAATTGGTCAAGACAAAAAAAAAATAGCCCAATATTTACCAATTTTAGTGCGTGGAAAGGCGATGAAACAGCAGCAACACACTTAGCTCGTGTTATTGGTAAGCAAAAATTAGCGTTACTAAACGCTAATCTCTACGTACTGTGTATTCATTAAAATCAAAGAAAACATGAAATATGCAGGATAAAAAAGAACGAAATTTGATGAAATGAACATTAGAACAGTACATACCCGGGTCGAAGCTCTACGTCGCGTAAACTATAGTATACGTCAAAATACGACGAAATACATATCCATTCCAGATAAAATACGACGTCGTAATCCTTCTCCACGGTAGACGTCATCGTATTTCGTCGTAAACAGCTCGTATTTTGACGTATACTATAGTATCTATCATCATAAACTGTAGTATACTGCCATTTACTGCTGTAGTAATCATTGTCCTGGGTATGTGAATAATATATGCCTAAACAAAATTCTTCTATCGAAATAATTAGAACTATACTTGATATAACAATCTTGTTGAATAATAATTATTTTTATTTGTTAAGGTGTTGATCCAAATATTGAAAAAAATTCATTTTGTGAAAGTCAAGTGAATAAACCGAAAAAAACAGTGACTATTAGCGAATCAGAAAATGATTCAAAGGTCTACTACAGATTTTTTTAATTTGTTATATATTCAATTTTCTAAAATAGATATTTATTTTTAAGCAAGAAAATTCAGTTACAAGTTTGGTGAGTCATCATTCTGTTCAACAAGAACAACAGGAGAAGCAAGCAAGGCAAGAAAAAATGAATGAATATTTAGTTAATATTTTTATATAGTATATTTTTAGAAATGCTTTTATTCAACCTTATCTTCAAGTTCATATTGATCCAATACCATTAAAAGCTTCTCGACAATTATACAATGAAATTGTTCATCGTCAAGTAAAATTTTATAATTATGATTTCTATTTATAATTAAATATATATTTTAGAATCAATTAAAACCTAATGTACCACGTCCAATTCGTCCTCAATCGTCAAGTGTTCGACCTCGAGCAATTAAACATTTATATCGTCCAGCATCCGCTGATAAAATTGTCCATCATTTAGGCACACCATCGAGTCGAGCAGCACCCTATTTTGTATTTGCTGGACAAGAATATTTTCGAAAATCAAATGATTCACCATCACAGCTATTACGGCGCACAAATCATGCATCAGCCAATGGAATTCATTCAACAGTAAGAAATTCACTTTATTCAACTAATTAATTGTCATATGTATATTGTTCTTAGAATCGTGGTATCACTTCTCGTCATTCAAATCATTCAAGTTTATCCGAAACGTCAGATGCAACAGATTTTGTTGAAACACCAAAAGAACAACAACAACAACAACAAGTTTCAGATGGAACACGTAAATTAAATTAATTTTTCAAAAATAATTTAAAATTAGAGATTTTTTTGGTTTGTTTACTAGCGTTAAATCTCAATAATCAACGGCGACCATTAACAGCGGCTACAAATCGTAGACGTTATAATCATGTGCCACCACCATCTCGTAATCGTGTACAATCAGCTACAGCCTATTCAGAATTCATTATTAAACAACCACTTATTATTGATGCAGAAAAGGCTAGACGTGAAGCATTTAAAATGCAACGTGAATTAAATCTACCACGTCAAGGATGGATAAATATGAAAACTTGAATTTTGCTCGAAAATCTTGAATGATTAAAATTAAAAAAAAAAAGAAATAGAGATATTTTTTTTTTTCAATGAGTGTGTTTATATCTGTCATGTGTCGCTTTTTTGACAATAGAATTTATATAATGACAATAACTCTGAAATTTTGGAAAAATGATTAGGTTTTTAATCAAAATAGTTATATGGACGTACTGTTAGGAACTAGATGTAAACATATTTTTGTTCATATAAACAAAACAAAAAAATAATATTCTTATCATTCAGAGAATCTAAAATCTTGTCATATCAATATGGAAAATATACTTTTCATATTGAGAGAAAAATTGATTTTCAAAAACAATGTTTACTTATCAAAATTTGAAATAAAGTAAACAATTATATAAAATTTATCATCATCTAGAACATCTACAAGTTAAAATTATTATTTTTTAAATATTTTTTTTTGAAAATTTATAAATTTTATTTTTATTTAACTATTTCATTACATGTCAAATGTCAAAATTGATTAGATATATATGTTAATGACTGAATTCTATTTCTAAGTATTTCTGACATATATCAATAATGAGAGTTCAAAACACTCTCATTTGTTAGTAAGATTAAACTAATATGACAATATTTATTATATTTCTTTGTTTCTATATCATAAAATATGCTAGTAGAAAAAATATTTTCAATATCGTAATAAAGTATGCAAATTTACTTTTTTTTTCTTCTATGTGATCATATAATGTAAGACTTCATACGTTCATGTTCATCAATCACTTGTCATTGAAAATATATATGTATTGATATACGAATGCACATAAATGTATACTTAAAATTTAAGTTTAAGAGTATATATTGAGCGTGTACCTATAGAATATTGAATGTCGACAGCATTGCCATCATTATCAATACTGAGTAATCAAACAATAAATTCAAGTTCAATAGGGTTGTTACAATTATGCAATAAAAAAAAAAAAATCATAATAATATTTCTATTTCTCACTCCCTACTTGTTTATGATGTATCACGGTCAATTGAATATTGTGGGAGGATAACGAATCAATTGACGTACTTAATATTGCTTCATATGTAGGTGGGCTCTATCTTTTTCTCATATTTATATTGAACACATACGTTTGTACGAAAAAAAAAAAAGTAACCACCTACTTTTCTCGTATCGTATATATAATATACTAAATGGTCTAATCATATGATAATTGTAAAATAATTGATTACTTTCGTGTATTGTATGCACAAAATACGATTGAACTAATTTTTCTTATTTAAAATAAAATTGCCACTGGCAGAAATGGGTGCCAACTGAATATCAATTCATGAGTGATCACTCTATTTTTATATTATTACCTCCAAGAATTTTTTCAGTTACTTTCCTGTCTCACAAACGCGACTGATGGACACTTTATGGTAGAAGACAGGTTGAATTAGCCGTGTATACACAATTTTCTTATATATTCAATAGAATTTTTGTTCTTTAATTTGAACTTCTTAAAATGCATATGTCATTCCAACGACGTACTATGACTACTTTTAAAAATACACTGTTTATGCTAATCTCCGACTTTCTCATGCCATTTTGCTGGTTAAGCTTTTATAAGTAAGCGCTAATCTCTCGGAAGAGTGTCATAATACTCTTTAATTACGGACTGACTACTCTTTGTATCATATTATTCAAACCTGTAAAGATTTTGATATTTTAGAGAATTTCAAGATTTCTGCATAATTTCCATCACTATAAGGACTTCGGTATCTTCAGCAGTTTCCAATTAAAAAGACTATTTTGGCGTTTTTTGTGCAAAATTCAACAATAAAAATGGCAAAATAATATTATTAGACAATTTTATTTATTTCTTAATATTTAAAAACGCTAAAATATGCCTTTTCATCTTCTGGCCCTTGCTGAACTTCTTCCCATTTACTTTGACTAAATATTTCAGGTGTCCTAGAACAGTTTTTCTAGTTAGAACAGAATTTTATCTTCTCTACGAAAATTAGGACATCCTAGACTAAATATCAGCTATAAAAAATACACCCTTTTAATTTTTTTTGATGATATCCAGCTGTTATAAAAACAATCCTTATAATAAAATGACAGCCCATGATGGTGTGAAAAACAGATTTATATCATTAGTATTCATTTTTGCTGATGTTATCGTAGTTTTTACCGATAGCCGTGTGCATGATTAGTAGATCAACACCAGATATTCTTCTCATCTTCGACTTGTAAACTATACAGTCGAAGATACAAATTAAGATACTAGTAGTAGTAAGAAACACTATTTTTTATAGTAACAAAACAAGAATTCTATTTTGACTTCAAATTGGACACTACTACGCCTGTCATACCTGATGTGTTCTCAGTTTCCTGTAATTAAATTTATTTTCTTTATTAGATCTGCGAAAGTGACATCGAATTAAACTTTTTATTCACTCAAAGACCTCATAATCATAGAGATTTTCATTCGATGTCATTCAATCCACACTTTTACATTTAGTTTTAGAGATATCTCAGAGCTACTGATTTTCATCAACGAAGTTTCACAGAATGGAAAAAACGGTGATGAGTATGCTGTGTTTTCTGTGCAAATCTCAAGGATGTAAACTTTACACATATCAACGCTGTGATTATTTATTCCACTGCACCCAATTAGAAAATCTTTGATTTTTCATCATCAAATCTATCATAAAAAATGTAGCAAAAAAATCTCAATATTTTTGAGAAAACTCTAGCAATAAACAAACCATGGATAACTGTTTTGTTTTTCAGATATATATATATATATATATCAGCACCGTTGATTGCATAAACTATATAATGAATCATAGCACCATTCTTCAATTAGTAGGGTAAAAATATATATTTGGTCGATCACTGTTGTTTCCGATAAAAATAACGATTATTTAAAATAAAGTAAATCTCTTCTCATATGAAATATAATCGTAATACTTGTCAATATTGGTACGAGTAAAAAACAGACACTAATAATACCGATACGCTGTTTATTGGCGTACATGGCTGATTCGAGTGCTTGTACACAATTTGCACGAGTACAACTATAGGTTGTTTGAATATTTGTCCATATTGGAGCCGTAGTCTGTAGAATGTCTTGTTTTAAAACAGGATCCAATTGATCATAAATAGCAAAACCACATGCAACACTACCAGACAGAATAGACATATACAATGATAGAAAGGCTAAACAAGCCATTAAATAACGCCAACGACGTTGTACTATACCGAATATACCAAGAATAATGGGAACAGCCACAAGACCGCTTCCGATAATTAATAATAAATGAGCTAAAAATTATATGTACAAAAAGATCTTATTTAAACAGTTTTGAGTTGAACTAGACATATAGAACATTCCACAGATATCTTTACTATCCTTCTAGTGATTTAAGGACTTTTCATATTCTTCTTTCTACTACTCGTCTGAAAATGATAGATCGGCAGTAATCAATTAGTTCTAAGTATTAAACGGTCTTTTAGTATTTTGTTAATGACTCTTCAATATGCAGATAGTTTCTATTACAGAAGAGGAGGGATTGATTATGATCATCACTCACCTGCATATATTGAAAAATACGACTGTCTGTTAAACGCTTGATTTAAACCAATTATTGTACTATACAACGGTGGTTGTAATAAATAGCCAATTCCTAATCCAATACCGAGCAGACATTGTATTGCTAATAATGTAAATAAAAGTAATGCAATTTTTTGTATTGTATCTAATGCTGAAAATACGAAATTCATTTCTTTCTTCAGATTAAATTACTGTACACTGTTCGTTGTGAATAGAGACCATGCCACTGTATTAAATATTGAATACACTACATATTAGTTCTAGAATAACAAATGGAAAGGGATAATCTTATTAACGACGGTATTAAAAACTACTGTATTTTAGTGAAACTCTAGTCTTCAATCTAAAGACTACTACTCCGAATCGTTGATGAAATTTATATAGTAGTTCTGTCTATCTCAACTGATTCAGCATAAAATAAGTCTTTCTTAATCAGAATATAGTGGACTATTTCTTAGAAAACGTTGATCCTATGCCTGAAATTGGAAATTAGAAAGACCTAATATTTACAATGATATAAACTAACGAGATCATTAAATATCCTCGAAGGTTCTTTCTCTTGCTGTTCAAATAGATTAATAAATGCACAATTCAACAACTGATTTTATTTTTACAGTTAAATTACTAATATATGTTTCTTCAATTTGAGTAATGAATCTATACACTTCTGTTAAACATTTGTGAAATAAAACAGAACACATAGAGGAAATCGTTCTTTTTCATTTCATTTCCTTCCGTATGCGTAACTAAATATAACAAGTAAGACGATTAATGAAAGTAATTTATGTTTAAATCCATCTTGTAATTGTTTTAATACTCTTACATTTATTCAACATGTGTATCAGTGATTGCACATTTATATGAATTGATACTTACCCAAAAACAACCGCATATACACACATTATTGCACATGAAGAGGGAGGAGAAGTATGCAGAGGGTTAGCAAAGAAGGAAAGTAAACTGACTAACTGACTGAGTTGCGTTAGTAGTGATGAATACTTCTTTCTGTGTATGAGTGTGTGTTACAGATTTGGGAACGAACGAAAAGAAGAGAAAAGAAAAAATTTCATCTTTCTTCTTTCTTTTTTTTTTTTCTTTTTTTATTATATTTTGTACTATTTCGCGACGCACGTATATTAGAATGTGTTTCAAGAACAACGCAACATTTTCATTTTACTTTTTGTTGAATGAAGTATGGCATGACCTACGTTCTCGATGCACACGACTTTTTTTTGTTTGATTCAATAGTAGAGAAAAAAAGGGCACTTTCTTTCTCCATTTCCAGCCTTATTATCACTTCTACTAGTAATAACAACAACAACAACATAAAGATCATTCTTTATGTCTACCTCAATCAAACACAACTTTTATAGTTCAAATTTTTTCTTTTTTTTACCACTTGCCTGTTTAACAGAATAAAAAAAGTAAAATGACTGTACGAGATATAATATCATTTTTTTTCTCGTTTGTATGAAAAGGAGAGAGACATCGACGCTCATTTAATCTCGACTCAAAAAAAAAAGCAATTGTATTGATTGTATGTGAGTGCAGAATTGTAATTTATTATTTTTTTCGCTTGTCTACGTTCAATGAAAACTTATACACATATACAACACCGAAGGCTATTATTTAACATTTAAAGTTTCTTTTCTTTTTTTCCAAATGATAAACTACCTTCATAAATCTGACGCGTTAATCAGTAGATGGAAAGAGAAAAAAAAGTGCCCTTGGAAGTCGTGTGTAAAGTTTATTTGATTTTGTGAGATGCTATTAAAAAATACTATTTTATTTCGCCCAACTTATGGAATATGAGAATAACAATCAATTAAATCTTGAGCTTTTCTTATCTGTTTCTTGATTATTTTTTTAAAAATTTTTAATTCTAATCAGTTACGATAAGTAAAAGAAGTTTTCTGTATTACATGCTGTATGCTTGATGTCTAGCTCATAAGAGAAGTAGAAATGTGACTACTACTGTTTGAGTAGAATATAGGCATTGAACGTTCGTTTTTTTTAAAATTCATTTAATAATGCTAGAAGGAAGATTTTAAAATTGATATTTACTTTGTCTTTACAGAAGAAATAACTAATTAGATTTTGTTGATAATTTAAGGAGTTAAGAATGAATTCTATTATATTATTAAAATAAATAAGTTTAGATAAGAAAATATGAAATAGATAAACGATAAGTGACACAGACGCGCGATAGAGTAAAGAATCGTAAAATGGGTCTGTTGAATGTAAAACAATCGCAAAAACGTTTACGTCTATTGAACTATTCTCTTTTTCTATAGTATTCTTCTACAGATATGACGTTAAGAATAAAAATAAGTCCACGCCCCTCTTTGCAGAGAAATCTGGCAAAAGATAATTTACTTCGACCATTATGTTCGCCATATGTGCTTTTTAAAGAATGCTTCCTTCAATTTTCAAGATTTCTGAAGGACGGCTTAACCAAGTGACGAAATTTTTCTCAGCATCAATAGATCTGTATTGTCTTACAGTAAGATTTAGTCAATCAGTCTTAAGAATAAGATGAGAGAAAAGTAGTAAAAGAAGTATAGTAGTAATAAGAAGAACATAACAGTTTTTTAAGGATATTCTTCATATCATCAATTTTCTAGTGAAGTTTTTCAATAATTTGATTTTTAGATAAAACTGTTTTTCTATTGTTTTATGTGTTTCATTCATTGTATATTGACGGACAATTCCCGTGAAAGTCTGCTTTTATCTCACGAGGGAAGGTCCGCAAGTAACAAATCGTTTTTTTCAACGGAAAGCATCGAACTATATGTAATCGATAGAATTAGTATATATCCATAGAAAAATTTCACTAGTGACTACGTGCGCGAAATATGACACGAAAAGTTTCCGTGAGCAGTTCACGCGCTGTCAGAAGTGGAATATATCCTTTACGCTTGTCTACACACCATTTTACGATATTAGCGTGAAAAATCGAGTCTGATAACGTAGATTTCAAAGACTTTCTAGTTGCAGAACAGAAAATACGAGGGGTAATCATCGTTTTACTTAGCGAAGCCAACTGTATATAACGAGCACATTTTTTAAAATTTTTTTTTGATAACGTTAGTATTATTTGACTACAACAATTGCTTGACGATAGTAGATAAATCTAGCAAAGTTTTCTAAGTCGTTGGCGCAACCTGTTTTACTCCGGGGAAAAACACAGCAAAAAGGATAAAAGTGGTGATAATCGTTTTTCTAATTTGGAGGTCTAAAAAGTAACATGTTAGGTGAAATAAAATAGCTTTTTTTAACAGCATCTCACAAAATCAAATAAATTTTACATACGACTTCCAAGGGCACTTTTTTTCTCTTTCCATCTATTGATTAACGCGTCAGATGTATATGACAGACTCTCATCGGTCCGTCATGTTTTATAAAAACTCTTGAACCATTAAAGCTAATGTGGTACAATCAAGCAAATTATATCTACTTGCTTTAGAAAACATTTTGTAAACACTCGACGAAATGTACTTCTAAGCATTTTTAGTCCACTATTCCGGTTTATGCTAGAAATGATTTATTATAGTAAATTGTACCATTAATTCATGTCTAGTTTGACATCAGTATTAGTATCCATTAATGTCAGATTGATATTAAGTACCATGAAATATTTATATATCGATAATCTTTAACGAAAGTAGTAGAAATTAATGATGGATAAATACATTGTTGTAGAGAACATTAATCTATTTTAATTTTAATAAAATAAGAATTAAACATCTTAAAAGGCGAGTATACATTTTGACTTTAATGACAATCTTAGTGGCAATATTAGTGAAAATCTTTTTCGACGTTATTGATCTTTTATTTCCTGCTGTTCTACTACTATCTATGACTATGCATTGTCAGAAAATACCAGCAATGATATTTTTCAACAAGTTCTTTGAACATGTTATATATAAAACTAAAGATTACACTATACAAGATAAGATTTAATGCTTGATGACATTTATCTTGAAAGAACGAAAATAACGTTGAAAACTAATATACTGTTCAATAACGTTTTTCGAGTTTATGGGCAAAGTTAAGAATAAAAATTTTAAAACCAATGCGGCTATCATATTGGAAATTTTAATAAAAAGTTTTAATCAAATAATAATAAATTATTTGATTAAAATTATTTGATTAATAATTTATTATTTGATTAAAACTTTTTATTAAAATTCCCTACATGATAGCCGCATTGGTTTTAAAATTTTTAATATACTGTTGCTCAAAATTTTGTCTTGATTTTCACGTCACAAATTTTGATGTAATGTTACAGATTAAACAACATCGAAGAAACTCTAAATCGCATTTAATCTCTTGAAAATCTTTTTATTTAATTGCTCACATCGTCGAATTGTCTTAACATTTAAGTCGCCCATACTCATAGCCATCATACACAACAGAAAAACCTAAAACTATGCGAATCTGTTACGTATGGGCATCGGATGATAGAGAAAAAACAATTCCTTGCACTTTAAAATACATATCAATGTGAAGAAAAAAATAAAGTTCATTTAGGGTTGCGCGAAAGTGCTTTTTCTTATTTAGCCGACTTGATAAAATCCAGAAGATTTTCTATTTTTGGCAAGGGGTACTGTCAATAGTTCAAGAAAATTTTTCGAACAAAAATATTTTCATAGGAAAATAATATCAGTTTCAAAATTTTTCTTAAACTTTTGGCAAGTCTTCTCACCAAAAATAGAAAATCTTCTCGAATTTATCAAGTAGGCTGAATACGAAAGAGCACGTTTTCGAGATTCGATCGTTATTTTTCTGCTAGTGATATGCGAATATTAATTGAATGAACCATATTCACATTCTCGTGGGGACCATATGTCGATACTATATCCTTGCATTTTGCTTTCCGTCTATCCTACAAAAAAGTGCTTTACTGTTACTTGTATGGCACAGGTGTGCATCAGTACAACATTTTATTTTTCAGTCACCATTCTGGTTTATCAACATTTGTATATAAACATCACAGTATAGTTATAGTATTTCGAATGTATGTCTAACTTCATTTTTTGGGAAACAGGAAATCTGCCGTCGTACACTTTCGCCGTGGACTTCCGGCAATTGTCGGAAGTTGTGTGAGTGAGGGTGTTGAATGTAAGTCGCTAACAATTTTTCAAGTAAGCACAACTCTCAGCAATTGCCGAAAGTCCACTGCGAAAGTGTGCGACGGCGAAATTCATGGTATCCCATTTTTTCCATCTCATAAAGGAAGTGCGGCATGGTTATGTAGTACTAACACCTATCAGTGTCACACTTCGATTAGCACAAAATTAAGTAAAACCAGTTATAATAAAAAAGTAATCTCTCCTCTACAAAAAAGACTTTAATGCATGACTAGTAAAAATCAATGCGACATTTTTTGGACAGAAATATATCGGCACTTTATGGACACGAGTGTACATTGGAATTTTTGCGTATAGAATACATATAATCTTTATGGCCAGAGCTCAAGCCGTTTGGTGATCAGATGTGGCGACCGCACTAGGACGTATATTCGGTTCTGTATTATCGGATTCCTATTGGCCTTCAATTTAGATTAATGGTTTAGGCTGCATTATTGCTATTATTTTTATCAACCGTGCAATGAGATTCATAGCAACAGAAGAACATTCGGCATCAAGAAACATTTAGACTTTTATTTGTTGCCTTGTTGTTATATTAACGGCCTGTGTTCCACAAAGAAATGTTTTAATTGATAAGTTTTTTCATCGATGAAACACATTTTTCAGGAAGATAAAAAACATTTTATTTTTTAATCCAACATATATTCAAAACTGTACAGCGTTCAACAAATCGAAAATCTTATACTTCAACTTGTCCGCTCTGTATGAGAAATGTTCTAGATATATATATAGCTCGAACTGCTCTACAATCTCGATGTTGTTTATCACCTGAGAAAGTCTCCTTGTAAAATTTTCTTTAGCAGCTAATTTTAGCATATATTAACGATACTCTATAAAGATATTTGTTTTCATAGGAAATAACTGTATTTCAAATGTCCCCATTATTATTTATACGTTTTTAATTACTGAAATAACTAATTATCGTAATACATTCTTACTTTTTATTATGAACATATAGTATTAAGCAGGTAAATGCCTATTTTCTCTTCTAAACATTCACTGTCTTTATTTCTAAGATCTTGATGAGATCACATCACGTAACTGAATATTCTATTTGTGATTGACTTTTCTATCTGTTTTGGTGAATAAAAGACTTAGAACAAAAGATAGTGGTCTACTAGTGTAAAATAAAAAAATAATTTAGAGGTTAACAGAATAAAAAAATAAATATATAAAGAGAAAAGATAAGGCCCTTAGTTTATGATATGATATATAAGCTTAAAGCTAAAAATCTAGCATCAAAAATAGATTCTTGTATCGTTAAACTGTTTAAGTAACAATAATTGATCGATAAATTTTTCTGTTTGCTTGTGTTTTTTCTTCATTTCGTTTTATCGGTGGGAATAATGTATTTTTCATTGGACGAGGTAGACGTTGTTGTTGTTGATGAATTGCTGACAAAGATATTTGTTGAGTATGCACATTTGATAGTATACGAGGAGATTCTTGAGATTTCACATATTGTTGAGCTTCCATTTGAATATTTTTTAATAATCGTCTAAACAAAAAATGCAGAGCATCAAATGATGTCATTCTAGTAAATAAATATATGCATACGTACGTTAAATGAACATTTTTCTTTTTTAGAAAGTTTTCCATTGGATCGATTTTACTCGGTGATGGTAAATTATTGACATTGTTAACCTAAAATAGAAGAAAATAAATAATGAATATGCTTTTTAAGAAGTTTTTCTTATTACTTTTAATTTTGCTCCAACTTTAAATTTTAAATCAACTAACTCGTCTGAAAACGTCAAATAAATTTTTTCTTGAGAACATATTTTTATGACCATTTGTTCGTTTAAATGAAACAATATGGGTTGAAACGGTGGTGCATGAACATGATCTGCAACTACATCACTTGGCTTCAATGAACTCCACCAGTTCCAACGTTTACGACGACTACCATCAGAATTTAATTCGATACCTTCAATAGCTGTTAGATGAAGTCTGAAAATAAATAATAATTTATAGTCTATGATCAATAGTAACTCAACACATACGAGAGAATAATTCATGTAAAACTTCACTATCACAAGATCCAAACTCAAATATAAAGAACGGTATTACTCCGACATCTTAAATGTTTTCTAATCTACCTTAGATCACCGTTTATAAAATTACAATAACCATTGCCAAATGGATCGAATTGAGCGAGTTGTTTTGTTTGAGAATATGGTTCATCTGAGAAGGCTGTATAAAGTAACATTGCTCTTGCTACTTCTGTGATGCTTACGGCAAGTTGACCAGATGGATAACTGAATTTATCAAGGTTAAGTTAACTATTGTTCAGATATATGATTAAAAGAAAAGAGATAATGTTCATTAATAAAGGATACTAAACACAACCGGTACCATTTGGAAATAGAATGCATGCTTTAGAACCATCTCTATAGAATCGTTGAACTAAAGGTTTTTCATATCTCTAAAATAAAATATCAACGTTCTAATAATTATCAAAATTAATACACATCTACTTTGATGGCTGATGTTGATATTTGTCGTGGTACAAGAATTTGTTCATCCTCATCATCTGTCTCATCATCAGAACTAAACTCAAAATCTGGTGGTCGTTGTAATGTCCATCCTTTAGATAAAAATTGATTCTTTTATTAGACTCTTTTTTTGTGTATTTTTTTAAAGAAATATACCTTCTTCAACAAATTTTAAATTCGATAATTGATAGGTAAATGTTCGCATTTTTGCTGCTACTATAGAACATAAGACGATATTATTTTTAACCATGATAAGAACCATGTTAGTACAATATTAGTTCAAATGTGATATGTTGTTGTCTTTTAGCAGTGTTTACACTTACCCAATACAAGAAGCAAAATAAACACTCAGAAAGAAGCACACACGCACACACCAAATGTACCTATTAAGAAAGCAGAAAATTGAGCGTTAAATAAAATTAAACTTAAAGACGAAAAGTTCATGCTTTACATGCAAGTAATGATGATCTTACTTGCTGTTTCAGAATGCACTGATGCTGAACTAACTGGTGATAAAGCATTTGAACTCTGCAAAATACTACGAGTACGATATCGACTAGGATGACGTATGTCATTTGTAATAAATCCTAGATAAGTGAAAAATGGGGAAATAAACGAAAATTTTAGATATTATGACATTTAAAATAAAATTTCGGATTGGGGAAAATAAAATAATAGAACAGTTGTTTGTTGAGTTTCACACATTACATGTTAAAAAAAGCAACTGCTATTATAGTTAAAATATGAAACTAGATCTAAATCAACATATTTCTCAATTATGTTGAAGAACTAGTTTACATATATATATTAATTGAATTTTTTTATTTTTATTGTAAACAAATGAGCTACGCTTTTCTTTTTACTTTCAGTGGCATTTGCTACCGTGTCGATGGTATTAGAATTAGCTGCTACTGATACTTTAATACGTTCACTTTTTTTAATCATATTCTGTAATAAAGTTTGACGTCCTATAATAAATAATTATTATTGTTGTTTTTTTTGTGAAGCGGTGGATATGTTTAAAGCACTTAACAATACTAAACATGTGCTTAGTGAATATTTTCGCATCAGTGTGTAGAAAATGTGCATTTTCATATATGTTTCATTTCACCTACAATCATCTTGCATTATTCTCGCCAGACGTTTTTCAATTATTTTTTGTTGATGTGGATCAAATACGGTACTACCTCCGATTGATTCTGCGAAGATAGTATTGCTCCAGGTATCATGCAAAAAAAAAAGAAGCACTATCTATACAAACTTACGATTATCAGATTTTGATGATGATTGAACTGTCATTTTTTGTACTTGTTCTTCTAGACGTTTTTGTTCAGCTAAATGTCGTTCCCATACTCTAAAACAATCATCGGCAATTAAACTCTATATTCTGATTGAATTTAATTCTTAGTCATACCTTGTTTTTGCTCTTTCTTCAGCTAATTGTCTTGCTCGTTTACTTCTCGCTTTGGCGTGTGGTTGAATATCAATTGGTTGTGAATCTAACTTTTGTTGTTCTTCTTTTTGCATTTCTAGAACAGCTTCGACAAATTCACGATATTCACTACAACAAAAAAGCTAAAACCAAACGAATTTTTTTTCTATGAAAAATTATTTTCATTTATAATCTTTACTTGTTCAGGATTATATTTTTCTTGTTCAGTAATTGTTGGCCATTTTAAAATGTCTTTTCCACAAAATTCACATGGAAAATTTCCATGAATATGAACACCTAATTCTTTTAATTCCTTTTCAATTGTTTGTTCATGTGCTCCAAGTACAGAGGTAAGAATGTCTTTTTGTTTTGATTCAGGATTATACTAGAATAAATTAAATTGATAAATCAATAGAAAATGATATTTCTTTATTTACTTGTAAGATAGGTGGCGGTCCAACCGATTGTAGAATTGGTTCAGGTAGACTACCGATCGTTGATTCGTCTGGCTCTTGAGATTGACTCTATAACAAAAAAACAAAAATTATCTAGAAGTAATTCTCAGATATTTCTATTTTTATCTCATACTTCCGGTATCTTAACAACAGCTTCCGGTGGTGTATATTCTTTCTCCGATTCATCTTTTTCATCTTCGACAACGAGTTCGGGTGTTTCTTCTCGAACTAAATAAACAATTGTATTATATACAAAAGAATAAAGTTTTTTTAATATTTCAATCATGAACCTCGATATTGTTCCAATAATTCCATATCTTTCCATGTCCATTCGGTTTGAACAGATATACTGGATAGAAAAAGAATAGAACATTTTGAAAGAGAAAATTTGTTAATAAAATTCTTACGTAGAAACATCTTTTGGTTTTGGTTTTGATGATCGAATACTACTTTTATTGTCTCGAACGCTCGTGTCTCTTCTCGACGGTAACTGATCTTTGTTTGATGTTAGCGAAAAAACACCGTTTGCATCGGTGCTCGGTTGTGATTCTAAAATAAAAAATAAAATCTCATCGATTCTAATGATATTTATACTACTAGAAACTACATACCCAAATATTTTACATCCGAGTTTTCAGCATACTTCGAATGTGTTGACGATGAATCATGATCAGTACCATTTGCTATAATAACTAAGACAGAAAAATACTTTGATTAAATCATCTCTCCTTTCATCATCTTGGGTTCAGACTGTTGATGTATATTCGACTGAGCAACTTCAACACCTTTAACGTCGTAGAATGGTGGGAGTGGTCACCAGACTTTCCTCTACATTCGGCCATGTTCAACTCAAAATAAAAGAATTTGTCAAAAATGAGGGCTACCCTTCACTTTGAATGAGTGTATGCTAAATTCGGATAAATTATGTAAAACTTTGTTTATAAAAGTACGTACTTTATGGTCAACTACCGTTATTAAGGGTACCCCCCTCTCTTTTTTCACCTTATTGCCAAATACGGGTTACACGTCCAATCGAGCTCAAATTTATACTAGAGATATAAGAGCGAAAAAGAAAATCGATATATTTTTGCTCAGAATTTTGTGACATGATCTTCTATGGGTTTTCTGGAAAAATCCAATTTTCATCCAGTCACATTACGATCCCTCGAAAAAATGGTCCGATCGAGTCGAAATTTTTACTACAGATACCCCAGACCCTATCTCAGAATGAAAATTTTTTTTTCGAAAAATATGCTTTCCTTCTCAAGATATACGAAAAATGCTGAAAAATCCCACAAAAAAAAGTCAGGTTTTTTTGCGTAATGATCAGCATTTTTCGTATTTCTTGTTCGCTCTTCTACCTCTGGTATAAATTTGAGCTCGATCGGACGTGTGCTCCTCATTTGGCAACAAGGTGAAAAAAGAAAGGAGAGCGGTGTGTAAATCTATTTGATTGCAAACGTTGTGGTTCAGTATATAAAAATAAGTGAACGATTTTAGAATCGTGGTTTTTTCCTCTCATCACACTTACATCATGCGACAAGAGTCTTACCTTGAGATAGGAAATGAAAATAAATCAATTTAATTATTTTATGCTGTAATATCCTAAACGTCCAAACTTACAGCAATTCTATACAGATCTTATAGAAATCTTATATAAGACAGTCGATGAAAATGCGTAGAATATTGATAAGATTCTTATACGAAGGAATATAAGAATCTTATAAGATTCTGATAAGAATTCGGCAAAACAGATTATATAATTAATTTAGAAGAATTCATAAGATTTTCATACGTTAACATACGAACTTTTATTTACATCAATTAAAGTATCTTACTGTATGCAAACTGAATGAGTAACCCTGCATCGTATGGGATCCTAGGAAATACAGAAAATCGTTTTTGAAATCCTATGAAATCCTACGAATCTTATCATAGGAATACATATGATTTCTATTGAAAGCTAGTGTAGTGGTTGCACTCGATAGTATATGTGTCCTCTCACTTGCATAAATAAAGTTTAAATCAACTTCAGTACTCTATAAAAGTAAGAGCATCACTGTCACTCGTGTGCTATGATAGTTAATGACTTGAAATCTTGCATTGGATGTAGACTTACTCATCCCTCTACTAACATAGATTTCTTTCATTACATGATTCATCAGATATGACAATTTTATTATTTTTTTCAGTTAATGCCGATAACATCTGACAAGGCCACCCATCAAGCTTATAATACCCTATGTAAGCCACACTAGCGTCCACTCCTTTTCAGTACCATATTACGGTTAATCTTCGAAATTTAGACGAATAATATCCAGATACTACAAAGTATTTTCAGATATTTTTGAGTCAAAACAATGTTTCTAAGCTGAGTTATGCGCTTTTTCGCAAAGCACCTCAAGTTTCAAAATCGACCGATGATCGTAAAATACCTGTAGTCAGTAATAGCCAACACTTTGAATTTATGACGTAGATAGAAGAGAATCATGGCTACAATTTTGTATAAAGGAAAAGTGTATAAGATGTTATCGGCAAAAAATAAAAAATAAAATTGTCATATCTGATGAATCTTGTAATGAAAGAAATCAATGCTAGTAGAGGGATGAGTAAGTCTACATCCAATACAAGATTTGAAATCATTAACTATCATAGTTCATGAGTGACAGTGGTGCTCTTTGTAGAATATTGTAAATGGTGCATGATGTATGGTGTGTCTGGAGGTTTAGTTTGTAGCTTGAAGTGAATAAAATCATGCATCAGCATTAGTTGAGAGTTGAATAACACCAAGTTCGCTTCTTTTTTTTCATTAAAAAACATTTAGTTTTGATTTCAAGTATATAGCCGCTTTCAATATTTTACAGATTTCAACCTATTTAATCGACATTTTATTCAAATAATAACTTCAGATTTTTGAAATCATTTGTTTCCAAGTAATATGTACATTGTACACGGAAGCAGTAAAAATAGTATAAACATTTTATGTAGAAATGCTAAATAAACACTTAAGAAGAAATGGACTTTTCAAGATTACTTGAACGTATTTTAAGCACCAAAAAAATCTATCTTGTTATAGGATGCAAGATAAATTTCCATAATTTTTTCCTATATCATCTAATTCTAATGGAGAAACATATTTCCAACTCCAAGGAAAAAAAAGAAACATTTTTATAATGTCAAATATAGTTTGGTTAGTATTCAAAGTATTTATGTTTAATTAATGATAATTTTCAAGTTCAACTAGTTTATATTTTCATGCAAAACTTTTCTGCCATTACACTATGTTAAAAGTTAAATCTGATCGTTAAATTCATCATTTATCTCCTGTGAACTGACTGGTTGATTTCACTTGAAATAAAACATCAGTTTCAGTGTTTTCAATGATAATTGTACTTAATAGCTTGTAAACTTATGTTTGACAACCTATACTACTAAATCAACTTAAGAAGCTTCTTTTTACTCATTGAAGCTATGCATAACTCAATCTAAACGACAAACTATGTTTTTGTTATGCTTAAAGTACTAGTTATTCTATTTGTATTATGTATTATTATTGAGCAAAAATTTCTGTTTTGATCAGTTTTTCGGATATTTTTTTTCTTCTTCTTAAAATGCCGTATGTAAATATTTTATTTTGCACTCTAAGAAATCAGAAATTAAACGATAAAAGTTATTTTTATTGTAGTTAAATCGTTTCTTTCAAACAACTGAACGACATAGTTTACCTCATATATATGACCAATATATTTTTTTAAAAAAATTGTTAAATGCGAGATACTTTTGTAGGATCGTTAGAAAGAGTAGAAGAAAGAACGGAAGATTAAAGTGGTAAAAAATAATAAAACGGAATTATGAGACTTCTGCTCTTCTATATTATCAATATTTTTTGCAATACTTCTTTCCCCCCTCTTCTCCTCGCTCTACACTTTTTCAGTTCAGAAAAATTTTCTTTTTTATATACCTGCTCTTTCCTTCTCTATAAATAATGCTGCTAGTGTTGGCAACAAACATCGAAAAACTGATCGTAATATAACGAACGTCACATAAAAGATCATATTCAAACACGCATTCAATGATAGTAACCAAATCTGTTTAATTGAAATATAATCTTCTCAATGTTTATTTCCTTGTTTGATACTTGTTATTCAATTATGTTAAATACTCAAGGTCTAAACATCTAAAAAATACTTGTTTTGCTCGAAAAAAATACGCAGTAAGTAGAAACAAACTTTTACGATACAAATTTCCAACAAAACCTATTCTAAATTCAATATGTACGATGGGAACGTCCTATCATCACGCCTATAATCTCCAGCTTTCATCACCGCTGATTCTTATCGTCAGAATGATGAATTTTATAGAAATTGTAATATGTAAAAAAATAAGCAATTTTTAAGTTGTCAAATACTGAAATACCAAAATCTGTCCTCAAATAACATCTATTACAAATCTTTAGAAATGCCTCATTACGGTCACCATATTATCGATCGTGAAACAGGTCTATGTGAAATATGCGATCGTTCTGCTATCTACGATATTAAATTGGGCAAGAAACCACAGTTTTTATACGGAAATCATAACGGGAGATTTGTTTACAGACCAAACGAGGTTCAATCAAGAGTATGAAAATATCATTGACATCTTTTTCAATTTCTAACATTATTCTCTCATTTTTAGCGTCCAGACGAAGAGGGAGAGACAATCGTTTACAGCACACCTCAACCAAAGAAACGTGTAATCTATGTTGATAAACCATCACCTCGTCGAACCCAAACACGTCCTGTACCAGCTGAACCACGTTCAGTTGCTGCACAACGGCCGCCCATCCCTCGATATCGTCGTGCACCAACACCTGAACAATATTATTACGTCAATGATACTGGTGAAATTCAAGAAAACGTTGAACCTCCTCCTCGTACAAAACCCCAACAGTACATCGTTCAACCGCGACCGCGAATCATTCGACGCCAACGTCAACCATCTCCAAAAATTGTTCATCGAACGCGACTTCAACCATCACCTTATAGTGACAGTGAACTGTTTTATGAAGAACAGATACCATCACCGCCTAAATACTTAAACAACGATCATACGACAACAAAATATCGTAATGGAGATCGTCAGACACCACCATCATATAAAGAACAATCGCATCACAATGATGATGATGATGAACATTCAGAAGTCTATCGTGTTGTTCGTCATACGCAACCGAGAAACGGCGAAAATCACTATTCATCACCGCGACTTTTACACCCAATCGTACCACAACAACTAACTCCCCCCCGTTCTACACCATCTCCAAGATATGTCAATGGAAATAACAATAGAAAACTCCAACCAATACCTGTAAATAATTATCAACATGATGATGATATAATTCAACCAACTGTTGTGAGAAGGGTCTACAGAAAATTACCGGAAAAACAAAAAAATATTAACAAAAAACACCAGCAATCGCCGGAATCAATTTATACTCACTCACCACAACAGGTTCAACCACATCACATGCAAAATGGGTATGATTATAGCCGACCGGTGAGAAAAGTTGAAAAATTACAACCAGTTGAATATCATCATCAATCACCATCACCGCTGCCAGAGAATAATAAATTCAAAAAGCCACCATTGAGGTTAGCCAATGAACAAAAAATTCCAAGCATATATTACATTCGTGGAACTCAATAGTTCAACATTTCTATTACTGTTGTTTTGACGACTACTTCTTAATTGAGATCACTATTTTTCGCTCTCACTCGCATTTGGCTTGACGCCCTCTAATGTTTGTTTGATGGTAATTGAGACTTCCTAATTGAGACCACTTTTTTAATGAAAACTAGTCTCAATTTGGAAGACTCGCTTTTGGCATTTGTTTCAAATAGATGTGAAATAACGATATGACTAATGCGCTTTTAGTTGCTGCCTGCCAAAGAAATGTCATAAAAGTTGCACAGAATTTTCTTCTTCTTTAAAGATATATTCATTAAAAGGCAATTGAGTTACTGATAGCTGTGTGCACAGTATTTGCACATCATCTCTCTTAAAAATAAGCCACGTTCCATTAGAGTTAGTTAATGAACAAAAATCGTCCAGCATTTATTATATTCATGAAATGCTATAATTCACCCTTTTCACTACCGTATACCTATATACGTGGATGAATACAGGCATGTATTGCCGCATTGAAGTTAGCATGTTTATCAAAGTTACAACTTCTATAAACATACTCTGTCGAACTTATAACTTCGATAAGATGGATTATCGAAGTTGTTTTGATTAAGGTAAACGGTAATTAATTGATTACCGTTTGACTTTGAATGATATTATCAGAATTGATAGTTTAAGTTAATTTTTCAGCTAAACAACAAACATATATTTGTCCATCAAAACATCAAAAATGTATAAGTTATTTTAAAAAAGTGAGAAGATATATTCTTTTTTGTCCTTTCGTTATCCTTCGTTCCATTCAGGAAACGGAAGGTTCAGCTATAGAAAAGAATCGCGCAAGTATTGATGTACCATGATCTCTAATATATAATTCTTCTCCACTCACAATCAAAGCTAAAGACTTGAACAAAATATTGGCATCACCTTCATCATCTCCTTTAATGGTGAAAAAATGTAAATCTGTTAAAAAGAGAATCGAACTACCCTCATAAATTACAACTACTACATCGGCTCCGAGTACATATTCTTCAACAGGAATAATAATGGCTGTTGATAATACAGAATAGAAAGATGAATTTAATACTGAAATATCGACATCCCAAAATGATTCATCGAATAACCCGTTATTCAGATCTAGGGATGTTCGGTTCTCGATTCTAGAACCGAAACCGCTGTTCCGATTCCGAATCTAGAACAGACCACGGTTTTAAGCTTATGAGGAAAAGTTCTTAAGTATTCCCTCGTGTTTTCAACAAAACCTAGTGGATTATAGGTTATCGATGATGCTGATTCCGAATATGAATATGAGAACTGCTCTTAGGGCTTCGAAGATCCGGTTTTCTGGAAAACCAGTTTTTCACAAACTCTTTTCTTAATGAGCCATGCTTGTAGCCCGCACATTTCTAATTAAAATGAGACCTCTTCCAACTATAACTTTGCAAAGAAAGATCATGTAGAGTTGGGAGAGGTCTCATTTTAATCAGAAATGTGCGGGTTACAAGCATGGCTCATGAAGAAAAGCTTTGGTTGTTTTCAGAGTTTGTGAAAAACTGGTTTTCAGAAAACAGGGTCTTCGAAGCCCTAAGAGCAGCTCTCATATTCATATTCGGAATCAGTATCATCGATAACCTATAACCCACTAGGTGTCGTTGAAAACGCGAGGGACACTTAAGAACGTTAAACCGGAAAATAATTTTTCAGACAGTAACAATTCAACGAAATAGAATTCATTTTATAGTAAACGAAAGAATTCTTTTAAGTGATGACAGGCAAATATATCTTTTTGTAGCTTTGTCAAGGGTGTGTTTTCATTTTGTTAAAAGAAAGACAAGACATTGTATCTCATGTAAAAGAAGTTGCGCACAAGTAAGAGAACCACTGTTCCGGTTCCTCATGCTCAGCCCTAAGAGTAGCTCTCATATTCATATTTGGAATCAGCATCATCGATAACCTATAACCCACTAGGTTTTGTTGAAAACGCGAGTGGTGTTTACACGGTCCTGGTTCCTCATGCGGAGCTGAACCGCGGTTGCGGTTCTTATTGAGAAACGAACATTCTTATTCACATCAGAACATTATATGATCAAACAACTAAATTAATAAATGGTGCAAAATTAAAACACTATCGTGACAGAAATGAACAAGAAATATATACGACGTAATTAATGTTAGTAGTCAACAGCATATAGTAAGAGAAATAATTTGTACATTTTTGATGTTTTGATAGACAAATATATGTCTGTTGTTTAGCTCAAAAATTAACTTTAACCAGAAATTTTGATAATATCATTCAAATAATCAATTAATTACCGTTTAGCTTAATCAAAACAACTTCCATAACCCATCTTATTGAAGTTATAAGTTCGATAAACATGCTAACATCAATACGGACATATACATGAGCAATCTGCTCCATATTTCTATTCATTACCACAACTCTTTATTATTTTTGTACACATAAGCCAGACACTCAGCAACAGAATTGAGGCTGAATGAGAAGTTCTTATCAAAACAAAACTTAAACACGTACACAGCAATATTGACACTCTATTGACTAGTCTAGACCCGCATCAGTTAAAAATGAAGTGTGATTCAAAAAGCATTTATATTTTCGACGATATTAATTACTAGCTCACGCAAACTATAAATTAACTTTACTTACCTTTTTCATCTTCATGTTTCATTTCTTCAGATGAATCATCTAACGCATTATCAATAAAATCATTGACCGCCGATGAACGAGACATGAGCTTCTAAAAAGATAAATACATACACCTCTAATATCCATATTTTTCAATCCATCTGTTCTTATGAGCAATTATGACGATCAAGCTTTTCAAACCTTGTGAAAGATTTTAGTCTCATTTACAAGCTCAAATGACACCTAGTCTTATACAACAAAATAAAACAGAAATCCCAGGTCATGCAAAACAGCAGACAATTGATAGTTAACCGAAAAAAACGGTAAATAAACTCTTTGTTCTAGTATTGTTAATTGACGGACTAAGTATGTCTCAGTTATGGTGGTGACTAATGAAATTCAGATTGCTATCGTAAACGATTGTTTTCTGACGATGATAAAACAGTTGCTAGTTTTAGAACATTTTGTCTGCAAGTCATTATGAAAAACAAAATCAAGCTCTGGTCTTGAACCTGGCCAACGTCTGTTTCTCAGAAAATACCAAGACCAGACCAAAAAAGTCAAGGCAAGACCGAGATTTACTGTTTGTCTGATCAGTAGAAAAAACAGACTATCTTGCTCTGGTCGAAACGGACACCTGTAAGTAAATAAGCCTTCACTCTATTTTCAAGACCAGACAAACCGGACATTCTCTAGGGTAGTGCGTTAAAAATTTTAAAAATTAAAAATTTGGAAAATAATATTTTAAAGTTTGTCCTCATTGAAATGTCCGTCAACAGTTCCGTTGACAAGGCTGTTTTTATGGACTTTAGACTTCTCTTATGAATACTGAGAACAGCTGTTGTGTCAGAAACGAAAATGAATATGAGCGAGGAATTAAATCGACAGCAAAGTTGTTTAAAAAGTTCAGCTCCCCCCCCCTTCCGCCGGCAAAGATTATTCTCCGTTACAAAATCGATTTTGAGATAAGTACATGAAAAGATAGCCTGAAGTGTCTACTTTCAGAATCTGTATCAATTTTGATTATAGACGTAATTTTTCGTGGCTTTCGAGCAAGCTTTCTAGGAACCTCAAAAATAGGATCTTCAAATAATAGTTTTTTCCTGGATACTTATGTGACTAAATTTTTTCTCAATGCGTAAATTTGTAGAGCAAACTTTTCTGTTCAAAATAAGATCTCGCACAACTCTGTATGTCTTTGCGTCAAAAAGTTACAAGCATTTTTCTACAAGTCCTAAAACTTTGCGTTTTATACAGCGTTTTCTCTACATTGGGTTTCCCCCTGAAGTATTTCCCAAGATTTTTTAATATACTTCAAGCTAGAGAGTTTGGATTTGTTTTATTTTAAACTAGACCCCTAACTATATGGGCTGATAGGCGCCGATTTTTCAACTAGGGGATCTTAGTTTTTTACCAAATTGAAGATTTCTAGAAAACCAGGCATAGGTTTTCGGGTTTTTGAGGTTGTTAGTTGCCTACAGCACGAACAAAGGCTTAATTAAAATATTGGCGCTGGTCAGCCTATGTAGTCAGATGCCATTCTGGACATTGATCTCTGGAAAACTCCTAAACAGTAAGACTTGAAGACAAAAAACCTTTCATTTCCGTAAGTCGTTGTACCCAACATTTATGGAAAGTTTCGTCAAGGTCGGATGTACGGTGTCGTCGGAGATAATTTCTGAGGGGACCTTAAGACTGGAAAAAACTAAAAATTAAAAGATTGTTTAATTTTAATTCAAACAGAGGAACGCCGCAAGAACTAAAAGATCGCTCATCCATCTTTGTCTTTTTTGTTATAAAATAACAGCGCTGATACGGATTCACACACGTGAAAGAATAATAAAGTCAAAGAATAGGCAGATACTTTTGTAAATAAACAGAACAGCCAGCCATTTTTTGTAAACAATGTGTGGCAACAGTCACAGAGAAGTACGTCATAATTATGCTTAATTCTTATCATATTAAAGTTTCACTTTTGCAGTTGAACGTCTTCTCGCAAAGTCTTACTGCACAAGAGTGATGGAATCTAATAAATCTAAAACGCCATCTATGTGGCGGCGGTACATTCAATACAATTGTGTGCAAAAACTAAGTTTCCATTTCTCCTCATCAAACATCGATGAAAGAGTTCTGCTGTACGACAGAACATACACAGTCTTTATAATCAGACAGTTCGTATGAAAATATTTTTGTTTTCTATTCCTACTTGAATTTGGGCACCCAAGAACTTGGATGGGTACCTAAAATTGCTTGTTAGATACTTTAATGCTCTGCACTAAAAAAATACCTGCAAGGTACCTAATACTGAATCTTTGTTTAAGATGAAAAACTTTTATGAATTTGAGTAATAATTCAAGGAAACATGCCATAACATCAAATCTTATTAAAAAGAGAAAGCTTCAATAGTATTTTTGAATGTGAAGTTGTTCTCCGATTGATATTATCATTGTTTGCACTGTAAGTTATTTTGTTGACGGCAAAAATGAAAAATGGAAAAATTAATGAAAATCTACAAATTAACTTAATACAATTTCGTTATCACCATAATAAATCAAAACTCTGTCAAATAAAGCTTTTTCATTTTATTTGCTAACAATCGCTCATCCATGTATAATCAAACGACAGTTCGATCTTTGTATACTGAACTTCAAAACGCCTATTGCTTCTGGCTTGTAATGTCTGTAGATCGACTTGGAGTTTAAAGTTATTAAAAAAAGTATCGTATTAATTTTGTGTTCACCAAGCTTGTGTGCAATATAACTGCTAATTTTTATTCTTCAGTACGATCGGTGTTTTAATTCTGTATTGTTTAGGTTTAGAATGGAAGATAGAAATGATAAAAGCGGTGAGTCTTAGCTTACAACGTAATTCTTGATGTTCACCTTATCTTTCCATTTGCAGAAACTTGGTATCAATGCGCTGTTTGTAGTAGAGAACTTCATCATGACGATAACAGATATAAATGTCTTGTTTGCTCAGATTATACTCTTTGTGGTCAATGTTTTCATTGGCGAAGACGAAACCTTCAACATCAAACGGGTCATGTGGTTGTGAATTGTACATTACCTGGTGAAATTGATTGTACACCAATCGCTGACAAATATTTAACTCTATCGAGTTTAACAGACGAAGTTAAGAATCAAATTCACAATGGAATTTACTGTGATGGTGGTAGATGTAAGAAAATAACGTTCATAAAGGGACTAAGATTGACTTGTTATGTATGCCCATCGTACAATCTTTGCAAAGCTTGTTACCTAGAAGGAGTTATCTCTAAAAATCATAACAAATCACATCGTATGATCGCTCATATTCGCTCTACACTTCCTCCAATACATTCCGAGGATATTGTCTTAGAAACATTTTTGGGTAATGGAAGTTTTGGTTGTGTTTTTAAAGGAAAATGGTTATCACGTAATAAAACCATCGCATGTAAACTAATATTTATGGATAATTTGGACATTAAAAACTCATTTGAGCATGAACAATTTACATATCAGGAAGTGACTGGTTTTTCTATACTGAAATATTATGGATGTTGCTCATCTATTTTTCTCAATCATCGTGAAGCAAAAATGTTAATTTTGAATTTTATGGCAAACGGAAATTTAGCAGATGTTCTCGCAAACAAGAAAAATATCTTATCTTATCGACGACTCACGCAAATGGCATGCGATATTTGTTCGGGCATGAGCATATTACATCAGCACGAAATAATCCATCGTGATATACGACCAGTGAATATATTAATCGACTCTAGTTATAAAGCATTTATTAGTGACATGGGTATTGCTCGTCGATTTAATTCAAAAATGAAATTTACATTAATAGGATGTGAACAATATCAGCCACCCGAGTTCTTTTCAAAAAATAACAATCGGATTACCGAAAAACTGGATATTTATACATTCGGTCTTACTCTTTATGAAATGTTCACGAATGGTGAAAAACATGTATTTGATGGAAGATCAAAAAGAGCCATATTTCGTAGACCAAGTTTATTATTCTTTAAATTAATTAACGACTGTACCGCAGTACGAGCACTCATGAGACCGTCAGCCAATCAAATGGAAGCAACGTTCAATGAGATTTGTACAAGTTTTAAAATTGATGAAAACTATATGAAAAAGACAACAGATGAAAAAAATAATGATTTTAAGAAATTTTTGAAAAATTATAAACAACAAACAGTCCGTGAGTAATCAGGTGCAAAGTTTCGATGCAGATTAAGTTTTATGTCTTGTAAAGTTGTTGTAGAAACAACTTGAAATCTTAACCATGCAATAATTTACCATCCTGCCAAAAATTATATTCATTGTTTAGGTAAAACGACATTTATTTGAAAAGGTGACAAACGAAATTATGGTCTAAATTACTTATATATTCTACGGTGTTCAAATTACTTCGCAATGCATGTGTTTCAAAATTCAAATGCGAACACATACATTTAGACTAATAGAGTACGTTTAGCTGATAAGAAAGTGATAGTTTTGTATAAAACTTCTTGAAATTTTGCGTTTGGGACAGTACCGGAAACGATTTATTACACGGCTCAATTATTCAGAGAAGCAATAGTTCAATTTTACGATTCAAATCTTGCCCACACCAAATCATGCATGAATCTCAGACAGCGGTCCGATAGTATAGCAGGTTGTGGTAACAACATAGTGCTTACCCTCTAAAAAAAGATGCTCTGCAGAACCTCTTAAGGGTTCTGGAATTAGCTTTCGTTCTTGAACCTTAATAAAGTCCGGCGGATGATACAGTTCGGTGCGGAATTATTTTAGTTAATTAACAGGATTGGTCTATACACTTCCTAAATCAGCAGATTGTTCTCCAATTGATTTTCACACAAGAAATCAAAATTTCAGAAAGAAAATCTCAGCTATTTTTGCACCGCATTAGTATATTGAAAATGCATCTGAACTACTGGAATGGTCTACTGGCTCAGAAAAAAAGAAGATTTCCCGTTATATAATGTACTAAGTAGTCTCACATGGAACCTTATCTTCTACCGAACCCTCTAAAGGTACAAAAATGGAGCCTAATTCCTAAATCCTTAAGAGGTTCTGAGTGGCACCATTTTCAGAGGATTGCCGAAAAGCTAGTACATGATTCGTGAGTGTGTATAGCGAGTTCAGGTCATTGGACAAAGAAACTTTATGTCCGACTAGCCTTTTGTCCCAAGCTGTACTTTGATTATTCAACAAAAAAACACGTTTTTTATTCCCACTTATACTGCTGAACGATATTGCGCGGATCAAAACTGCAGCTGGCTATAAGAACGGATCAGCACGGTGGTGCGCTATGAGTATTGAAATAAATATACATCTTAGTCTATTGAACAATTCATTCATTACACTTATATTATTTTGGTATATAAGCCAATTATTGTAAATCCAAACTCAGTTATCACTCTATGTATTATGCACCCTTTCAATACAAAAGTTTCAAGGAAATTGTATCCTAGAAATCAATAAAATTAACTAGTTACAACATCTTGTTCCGAGAGTAGTACATAGTGAAATATATTTATCAATGAAAAGTACAATTATTCATAATTCGTTTGCCTTTCTGTGGAACTACTCCGAATAGTTTCCGAAGAAAGGAGGAGTGTAAGTTATATACCTCACACCCTATAGCACTTTTGCTGTTTTTTACCTCTTCTCTCGTTTAGTTACGGTCTTAAGTTGGCTATAGTTATGATCTTAATTAACACAGTTCCCTATGCGCGTTTAAAGTTTTACTGCACCCCTTCTAGCTCTTAAGAAAGTCGTTACAGAAAATGACACTTTTTCGATCTAGAAAGAAAAGCAGTTTATTACTATAGTTCGGTATTAATAATATATCAGAATCAAGATTCCCAGGGCGTTGAAAACGGTGTAATTTATCGTCTAATAAATGTCTATCAACACCCCACAAAATGTGTCTTAAATAACACTTTTTAGCTAGTTAACACCGTTTTTGACCATTTTTCGATATTCTAACTAGGAACATATTAATACCTAAAAGTGGCATTTTTTTTAATGGCCAAGAAATAGGCCGAAAACAAGCATTTAATAGTGACTGTTTATTGATCGTTTTTGCGTAATTATTGGCTATTTATGTCCAAGGATCCGACTGTTGACCATGACTAATTTCTTTCTGATAACAACCATGAAATAAATGACTTTTCAAATTTTTTGAATATTTTCGGTTCCCTAGATCGGTGCCATCACTGGTATCATATTTGGAACCAGTAGCTACTTTCTCAACACAAGTCTCAATGACTTATACAGTCGAGGAAAAACAAAATCTACGCTTTCTTTGAGAAAACAACCTGGGATATATAGTAGTGAGATCGGTGAAAAAAAAGGAAAAAGGATTAAACGGTAAATGTTAAATGCCCGCTTTTTGTCTGTTTATGCAACGGTCACAAAATGGGCAACGAAATGGCATTTAATAGTTATCGAAATCTGAGCCTTACTAACACATAATTAATTGCTTGTTTTTAGGCCATCAGGGACAATAAATGTACGGCATGGCCAGCTAATTGGAATTCCGTAACATTTTTTTGGTGATTTTGTTCAATTTGCAGAAAGTTTTCAAACAGTTAGAACTCAAAAGTGAATGAGCCATTTTGTAGACAATTCAATTTTCTATCGATTGACCTACTTTTGAAAAGTTTTAGCGAAAATCTCTTGGTGAGGAAATTGAAAAGAATGAGAGCTGTTTTACTAAATTTATAAAAAAGATATGCAAAAAGTACCTCTCATCTCTTTTCAATTTTTTCACCAGGAGATTTTCGCTAAAACTTTTCAAAAGTAGATCAATCGATAGAAAATTGAATTGTCTACAAAATGGCTCATTCACTTTTGAGTTCTAACTGTCTGAAAACTTTCTGCAAATTGAACAAAATCACCAAAAAACGTTATGGAATTCCATATGCAGCAGAGTTAGATGGACAGGTCGTGTAGCCTGTTAACTGACCATTTTTTCATAATTAAAAGTCTGTCGAAACCTTGTCATTAGCCATTTCGTTAACAGGCAATTTATGTTCTATTAAATGTCAGTTGTTTTTGATATGGGTTATTATTCTTTTCTATATTATACACTATACTAATATATTATATTAATGTCGACAGATATTATGTGTTTTTGATGTTTGAATGTTTTGATGTTGATGAAAAATGTTTTTGGTTTTTTTCTTTGGTCGTTGTTTTGTATAAAATGTACGCATCATGAACTACGCTAGTTAGAAAAGTTCTGAAAACGGAATATTGTTCTTGATATACTCGAGATTAACCGATGGTTGTTCATTTTTCGAGCAGTGATCCACCTGCTGCGCCCTAAGATGGAACAGGTTAACGGAAAATGTATTTTGGACTTAGATGTTTTTCATGCATTTTGTTGCCTACGCCATTTTTTAAGGAGAATTTTGAGAGCAAAATAAACTATTTATTTCTTTGTTGAGAAAAGAATTTTCGTTAGTGAGGAAGAGACAAGAAGAAAATTAAGAAGAAAAAGAAGAGTCGTTGGTCAGAATAAGAAGAAATAAATACCGAAGAAGACATAAAATTATTGATAATTAAGATTGTAAGGAATATTAGGAAAAAGAAAGCAGAAGAAAGATAAACTCACTACCATAAATTTATAAGATAACTCTTTTAGGTATCTGATGAAAGAAGAAACAATAGCTTAGCCTTACTTATGCGAAGATTTAATGTTTCTTTCTTCTAGGTCTACACTTCAAACAGATTTTACTCTAATACCTGTCCACTGCCGCCTATTGTGTTGAAAAGAGTTATTATGAACTCTTCTACTGCTGCAGCACTTTTTTGTCATTATTCAGTATATACAAAGTCTGTCGATATCGCAACTTGTACAAAGTTTGCAATTACATTCTAGTTCGTTTTGGATTTAAAGTTTTAATTCGTAGATTTCTGATTAGCACGTAATCGAATCAGTCAAAACGATTTCAAATCTATTTATTACTAATCACAAACACGAACTCAAGAATTAACAATCAGGAAGAGTTTCACATTTTAGTCCGAAACGGGGCTACTCTGATAAGATTTAGAAAATGACACCCAATTAGAAAATGACACTTTGTAATATGACTCATATCATCCTGAATAAACAAAAAAAAAAACACACTTTTCTTAACCGAAAAAAGAGATTATCTGTTATCTTTCTCTACTTGCCAACAAGAAAAGAAATAAAGTGATATTGTTATTTTATAGTAGAAGGAACAAAAGTTCATTTAAACTCTAAACGCTTTCAACTTACAGACACATACACAACAAATATTCTTCTTATCATGAAACTGCAATATTTAGCCTTTACTCTGTCTTTAATTGTTGTAATAACCACAGGTAATATACACCAGTACTGAAGATTAATAATGTTTGAAGGAAATTAAATTTTTGTTAGATCTCACCATCACGTCGGCAATGCGGATTTCTGTCAAAAATATCGGTTTTTAGAAAAATTCGTGGTCCAGATATGATAGTCTAGACCGTCCTCCTTCAAACACGCCCTAAAGTCTGTACCTTCAGGAAAGCGTTTTCATAACCTTTTTCAGAAATTTCTCTGAATGCCTGGCGCAGAATAAGTATGCCAGATTGAGCTAGCTTTAAGTAAATAATAAAGAATCCCACTTTTCTGTGTAAATTAATGGTTGTTTAGCACTTCTGGAAAGCTTTCTAAAAGAATCATGAAAACATATTTTCGAAGAGCAAGAGGGTAGTGCAATCGAAGGGCGAGAGTTTAGGCTATTAGACTATGAGTTTTTCAAGAAGAAACGATATTCTTTTAGAGAAATCGGCATTTCTGGCAATGAGGCAGAGGTGGGTGCTTCAACTACATCAAACTCAGTCAGTTGACATTCATGTGGGAAAATCAAGCACGATTTTGAGCTTGATGTAATAACAGGACTACTGTAACCAGCGGGAAGTCTTGAGGACGACTCTCATTTAACAATTCAAAATTGATGCTGTTTCATAGCAAAAGAGAAAGAAAAAAGCTTTCATGTACCTCTGTGACGGTTTTGGAGTTCATTACTTTCCTCCCAAAAATCTAAAGGTCGTGATATCCGCATGTCATAAAGTTTATTTCATCAGTGGAAGAAAGTTCAACCCTATTCTATAAATATTATTCTCTCTCAGGTTATGTGGATGGAAAAAGATCGGGAAAAGGTCCAGGATCCGAAATGGCCACTTCAGAAGATGATGGACGATCAGAACGAGAGAAATCTGGCAAACATAGAGGTAGAGGTACAGGAATAATAAATCCAGCACATGATTTACATAGATCTGGTGGAATGAATCGAGGTTCGATGACAGATCTTGAACATCGACGAAAACCGGGTACGCATGACGCTCATGATGGCTCTCATAGTGACTCTTCAAGATCAAGTAGTCGTGGCAAGAAAAAAGACCGTAAAGGCAAACATCATAGTGGAAACAAGAAACATGGTGGTGGCGACAGATCAAGAAGTGGCTCGCATTCACGACATGGTGACTCTAAATCTAAAAATCGAGATCATTCCTTATCTAAAGGACGTGGTAATCACGATCGAAGAGAGAAGTATCGACGTGACTAATATCTGTCACTCTGCGCGTTATTCAAACATTAACATTAATAATTTTTATTCATTTATCTTGTTTTGTAGTTCATTTCTTAATAAAATTACAAAAAAATATTAGAAAAATTCTCAAATAGCTTTCAATTAATCCAAAATATAAGAATAGAAAGAAAAATATCGATGGAACATTGCATAATACTGTATCATCTCTAGAAAAAGAATAAAGAAAACAATATGCTATAAACTATTTGGATAACACACTATAATGATAATTTCGCTTGAAGAAAAAAGTTATTTTTTTTCTTATATAAAAGAGAGTAGAGTTCTCTTGCGTAGTATGTATAATTTTCCGCTAGAAAAATCGCTGTTTCTTTATCCGTACATATCAAGGACAAGCGTGTGTGGTGAGTATTTTGAGGTTAACACGTTTATACGTAGAATCAATCACTTTTGTTTAGTACCTAGTAAAGTATTCACAACACATTTTTTTTGTTTATTATCTTGACATTAATATACATCTTTTAATATTTTCAATGATTCATTCAATGATATTTTTAATTATTTTCTATGTCATGTCCACTATAACTGCCTCAACTAAAAATTGTACATTACATTATGATCGTTATAAAACATTGTACAGTTATTCTCTTACCTATCATTGTCAACAAGTTCGTTCGTTTCCACTATCGTTATCCATATCCGAAATAGTTGAAAAAAAATTACCGTTAAAAATTAGTAAGAGTTCTCATTTGTCAATTGAATCGTATTCATGTGAAAATATTCTTTGGGTTATAATTGAATCATCACAAATTGAAAAAATTGATAAATATGCATTTTCATGTAAACAATTACGACTTTTATCAATAACTGATACAAATTTTACACAACCTGATCAAATATCTGATAATATATTTCATAATGCTATTCAATTACAAACAATTCGTCTCTGTCGAACAAATTTAAAACGTTTACCAATGTCAATTGAAAGTTTAACAAATTTAACAGAACTAATTCTTGATGATATGTACAGTTTGTTATCATATCCATCAATTGAAAAATTAACAAAATTACGATATTTTCATGTATTTACTAATCTAAATTATTTTCCATTGAAATATGTTGAATATTTAAATAATTTACATCATATACAAATATTTCATTTTGGTAGTCGAACAATTGAAACATTTCCCAAAGAATTATTTCATTTAAATGGTTATCAATTAACTGATATAAGTTTATATAGTGAAAATATTCAATGTTCAACATGTAAAACAGATTGGTTAAAAACGATTGTTAAAACGCTTATGTTAAACGGTTGGTATAATCGAACGCGAGGATTATTTCCAAATAAAAAATTTCATTTGGGTACATCACAATATTATAAATTGGATATTCTTGCTTATTGTGGTGATATGCGAACTAGCGGAGTGGTAGACGATAAATTAATGTTACATAATGCACCATTATGTTGTAATAAAGGCTATTATCAATGTGGTATCAAAGCAAATTGTACAAAATATACATCAACATTTTATAGATGTAAATGTCTAGATGGATATTATGCGGACAGTTACGATGATTGTGTCGAAAATTAATGTTTATAGATGTAAAATCGATTCTAAAAAAGAACAAATTTTCTTTAAGTTAAAGCCAAATAATTAGATTAAAAGAAAAGTGAGAGTATGTTTGTTTCACTCTTTTATTTTGATTTATCAGCATCCAGTTGCCTATGATAAACATAACAGATGCATTCACTTCTTGTGTAGTTTATCCAAGAGAGTGTTTCTTGGATTATCCATCATAGCATACTTACATCGTAACGCAATACAGTTTCTTCAGTTAGTCGTTCGGAAAACGAGTGAGTGTGTATGAGGAGCTGAAGCAATTAAGCGAAAGGATGCCTCCTTACTAGAGCATAACAGTATGAGTGATCATGTCAGACGCTTGTCAACTGTCGAGAAGATACGAGACTATTGAAATTGATACTGGTCAACATCCTACAACGATCAGTGCACGGTGGATAATTCATCTTTCCAAGAGAGAAAAGACACATTATCAAAACGTCTCTTGCTGAGAGTAACATCAGCAACGTTACTATATAGAAGATATGGTGCTTGGCGTTTCATCAGACTGGAGCAGTTGTTTTCAGTGACATGGATAAGACTATCATTAGCCAATAAACATGTGAAGACTGAATATTGGTTAAATACAACTGTTTTTCTTTACTCTGTAACTGCATTATTACTAGAAGATCTCCACTTACTAGAAACTTCTCCTATAAAGGTACCAGCGAGTCCTCGCCGTCTCATAAACTAATTATATGCCTAAAAGATAGGATCTTCATGTTGTATGCAGAAAAATTATGTTTCATGGACGTTTTTCAAAAATTAAATTATAGCAATTTTTATAAATGTCAGAGCTTTCTCACGCCAAAGTAAACCTTTTGACAAGGAACTCAAACGTTCTTTAATATTTATAAAAATCGTTAATTAACACTTTAATAATGAACAAATTAGATAAAGATACAATAAGATAAAAAATCTCTTGAAGTTATAAAAGTGATGCTAACAAGTCACTTCTGAATATCATCTGTTTATATTAATCGATCTTATTACTATCAGAAATGAATAACTAATCGAAAAGAAAATACTAATCAATTACGTAAAACATGATGGTTTTGATTCAAATGCTCAAGGGCTGCACCTTATATTATTTGATGTACTTTATTTATAAATATTATTGATGTCTTTGACCGATTGAGTAACAAGCAATCTATGATTATGAAAAAACATTTATGTACAATCGAAAACCAACGACTACGTCATTTATATCAAAATATTAGAAACATGATAAACAGAACTACACCGATACAATTAAACATTATGAAAATAGTCTAAAATATTATCCAAAATTTATGCCAAGTAATAATTGCAAAACACTACAAAATAAAGCTTAACAATTATTTTTTTAGATTAGACATATTAGTCGGTATTGTGAATAAATATACAATAGTACTAAATGTATTTCATTTCGTATTTATCCGTATTTACCTATTTATGTAGATTTTTCGTTTTGTTAGTATAAGAAACAGGCATTTTTCATATATCTGATGAATAAGTAACATACACTTAAACAACTTGTCAACGTTCTTAACGGATTAAAAATTAAATTAGTAGTACTCGTTGAACTAACAAATTTCTCGGCAAATGAATTACAATATGTGACTAAGGTATTATTCATTGTCGCTGTTGTATTGATTCTTGTACTATTTGTGTTTAATGTCCAATTTACACTGGATGTTCGAGTCAATTGTAAATAACTAAATGCAAGAGGCGCATCGAATGACATACGAAAGATTGAATCGGTACATAAAAGACCATATTGTTCAGAACTAAATGTTAGAATGTTGGATTGATATTTAACAACCATACTGCCACTTGGGCAACAACAGCGACTTTGGTTGCACGATAGTAGAGACCATTGATAAATGCCAGACCAATTCTGACTGGAGACGTAACCGATATGAAGTACTAATAGAACGAAAACAAGTTGTGCATTCATGAGCAAGAGATGACACACTAAAAATAATGATTAAACATTTCGATAACACGTTTATTCTTTGATAATTTTCCAGTTAGCAGCATTTTGTCAGAGACGAAAAATTTACTTTCAAGGAGCATTTTCAAAATATTTAAAAGAATGGACGTTACCTGAAGATAGTAGGAATATTCTCAATGGCGCATGCATGAACTATTTGAGTATAGACCTTGATCCATGCTATGCTTCTGAAAAAAATGAAATTTGACTTGTTCATGCAACTTTTTTCTTTTTTTTCTTTTTGACCTATAACGCGTATGTATATATTCTGAAAAATTTGATTTGATCCTTCATTTTATGAATTATGAAGGTCTCCTGTTTGATGTTTTGTTTCATTTAGATAACAAATGTCAAATAGTTACGAATAAGTGCCATTCCAATACAGGATATATCTTTATATTATCTTCATCCAACACCGCGCAAATGAGAAAAGATATCGTTTCTTTCCAGCTTTAGATCGCGGTTGATCAAAATCTATAAAAGATACAACAGGTTTAACAAATTGAACTTTCAATACTGAAATTACTGTTTAACTTCTAGAATCAACTATAATTAAGCTAATTTTTCATATGATACAATTTTGGATTTCAATTTGATGACATTTTGTATGATATTCGTCGATTGTCTGCAGTAGACAGGAAAATAAAAGTATTAAAGAAGTTACCAATTGGCATCTACTTCATTCCATATTTATTTATGGACGTGAATTTAAAAGATCACGGAAATACCATACTTTCGATCCCGGTTGACAAGTTTTTGAGACAAATCAGATAAAAGATCTCAGTTATAAAAACTAAGTTTTTTTTATGGTAAAATCATTGATTATCATTGAAAAAATCTAATTAACCCTTTCTTGCCTCTAGTTAAACCTGAAGGTCTTGAACCAAAATATTATAGGAGTTATAGGTTATCGAGCATGCTGATGTCGAATATGACCATGGAGGCTTCTCATAGATCTTCGAAGATCCAGCCTTCTGGAAAACCAGTTTTTCAGAAACTCTAAAAAATAACCAAAACCTTTCTTAACAAGACATGATTTTAGAGTGCAAATTTCTGATTAAAATAACACATCTCTG